CTTACTTTATTTATCTCTAGATCTGCAATTATTAACTGTCCTTTACGTTTCTTCATTTCAGTCCAGGCTTGGCGACGAGCGGCCAACTCATCACCCATGCCAGCGAGGGATCCACCTAGAGAGGTACACACACTTACTACCTCTAGACAATGTACTAGGTGGGGACTATCTATCTTTCCAGTTTCTGCCTGAGGAACCTTCGGATGGGAGGATGTCTTTCTGTTTACATCCGAAGTTCCGGTAGAGGCAACTGAAACCTCTACTGGCTATTCCCTTTTGGTTGTTTATAGTCGGGACAGAAGGGAACGATGTGGTTGGGGTCACCACATTCGAGGCATTGATCGGTGACCTTTCTATCCTGCCAAATTTTCTCTGTAATCCCCAATTTCTTCCAAGGCTCCCCTTCGGGCAGACTTGGATGGCGTGGATATGGTTTGTCTCCTGTACCATACCATGTGCCTCTTCCTCTTCCCCAGGTAGAATACGAACCACGACCACCTTGCGAGGGACCATTGCCCCTTCCACCCACGTAGTAGCTACCTTCGCCACCACCCCTCTGGGTACCGGGTCCTCTTCCACCACGTCCGCGGCCTCCTCTTCCTCGGCCACGTCCTCTTCCTTGTCGCCCTCCCCCGCGGGCTGCAACGGCCGCGTAGTCCCCCTCCTGAACTACCGTGCCGTTGGGTCCCCTCCCTCCAAACCATAATCTATTTGGTCGTAAGAGAGAGTTTCGACACCTCCTTCTTCAAAGGTAAGAAGGAGATTGTCTTTCCCAAATATGTTCCCTGAGATGGTGTGGTTTTGCCATTTCTTACCTGCTTGCAGATCTTTCCAGTAATGGCAATAATTAGCCTCGACTAAGAAGCCAGCATGATCTATAGCGATCATGTTGAACTTCTCGTATGTCATCCCCTCTTCCTTTGTGCGGGGATAAAGTTGAGTACGAAGAGAGTCGGGTAGTGCTCTAGCGAAGTTATTGAGGATTTGAGTAGGAGTAAGACCATGTTCAACACATTCTTAGAGTTCGTCCAATGTTGCTTTGAGTGCAGATGCACTCTTCCATTTCCGATCTGCAATGTTTAGGATTAGCATTTCTGTTCGGCGAGCCAGATTTTTATCTTCAAATCTTTCTCTAACAGCCTTAAAGAAGTCTTCGATTCTTGTTTGCTGTGAATACTCAATCATGGTCTGGCAGTTCGCTTCTTTTTTCAACGATATAGCGAAGCTCATCGCATCGTTGGCCATGCACGAGGTGGCCATCAAAACTCTATCCCAATACGGGATGCGTTGACCGTATACATATGATTCTACGACCGCAATCCAAAGTAGGACACTCTCCTCTCTCTTGCCTGTGTATATCCACGACACTTTAACCTTGATTTTTTTTGCATCCCCCGTGTCTTCTCGCAGCACACCCTTTCCTTTCATGTCACCATTTCCCCATCTCCGTCTCCATCTCCTCCTCCTCCGCCGCTGCCACGAACTATCTTATCAATCACGGCGGGAGTAAAGGTTGGTTGATGTGGTCATCTAGTTTCTGGATATACGATTGAATATGCTGATCAACATCTTTGGCAGACTTCTGCAGAAAGGTGTTCCAGACTCCCTCACACTCATATTCGTAGGTTTCAACTTTTTGCAATGTTTTGTTCATTGCTTCTAGCTCTTGCTTTGTATGCAGGACTGTTTCTGTCAAGAGGGCTAGTTTCTTTTCTGTAGCAGCCTATTTATCTTTTTGGTCCTGCAGTTCTCTTTGTAGCCTCGCACCCTCTATTTGCAGTTTTTTCCTTTCATCCAGTTCTTGTCGTTTTGCTGCCAACATTCTCATATACAGTCCCGCACGTTTTTCCTCTAGCAAGAGTTCTTTTTCCCTTTGATCTTTAATAGATGCCAGTTTTGCAACAAACAGATCTCTCTCTTCCTCCGTTTCTTCAATTATGTCGCTGGAATAGGCATATTGATCATACCAATCCAGCGATTTGACCTGAAGTTCGCCACCTGTCTGGCTAGTCTCTCCCCTTTCTGCCCGTCGCCTGAGGAGTCTGTCTCCTCCATAATCGGGCTCTTCTTCTTCTTCTATTGTCTGCAATTCTTCTTTCACTTCCCTTTCCAACTTTTCTTTCATTTACTTCTTCATTCTTTCTTCTTCCATCTGCATTTTCTTCTTGACTTCTTCTTCTTTTTGTTTTTTTCTTTCTTCTTTTTCTCTTTTCTTTTCTGCCTGTCGGCGTTCCACTTCAGCCTGTTCTGCAGGCGTGGGCCCTGGCTTAGTTGCCCCTGATCGCATCATCATATGGGACGAACATGTTCTTCCAAAGCCCAATGGGAAGAAGAGTATGAAGATGGGCCCCAACAAAACAGATAGGGCCAATAATCCCTGCACGGGGTAGTCATCCAAGGTGGATGACAGCACAGGGGATCCTCAGCTGGTCCACCAAGTGACTACCCCCAAACTACTACTGAACTTTGTCTGACGTGGATGGGATGTTGTGCTTTTTTTTTTTTCAAACTCTGGAAATTGCTGCTTCAAGAATAACGAATTTCATACAATATAGGTCTTCACTGTAGAATAGGACTTCTCCTTTTTTTTTTTTTTGTACACGCTGCCCGTCTCCCACTTAGTTAATACCTTTCTCGCTTTCCTTTCGATCTGGCTATGTTTTTTTTTTTTTTTAAACCTTCGTTGTCTGCCCTCTTGCGCAGGGAGAAGCTGGAGTGTACACTACGTCAGATGCCTGGTCAATAGTTTGATCACACAGATTATCACTGCCCAGTTGATTATGCCTTATGTCGTGTTTGCATCCTGACGTGGCGATCGGCCATCACCAACCAGTGTTCTCCTACCTTTCCTACCTCCTACCGATGTCAGACCAGAGGGGTAGAAGAGAGGACCAGACAAGGACTCTGACCACTCTCAACTCTGACGTGACCAGACACTTGAGTCCTGACGTTCAGACCAGACCAGACCAGACCAGACCGTGGGTAGACCTGACAGCAGCAGCAACCACCAGAGAGGAGGGGAAGCAGAGGTACACCACACACACTCATGCAGCCAGGTAAGGGGATGAGGGGTTCTTCTCTCTTTTGCAGCTATCGTTGGTGAAGACTCCTCGTCGCTCTGCACTCCACGCTCCTTGCGCAGGTAAGTCCTCCTTAGACCCTTCCTCTTCGGCCTACTTCTCTCTCCTACCCCAGTCCACTTCTCTTATTCCTCCACCATCGCCAGCATCATCATCAAGCCAGCACAATTCCTCTCGCCGGCCTTGCTCATGCCAGCGCAGTGAGTGGAACAAGTTACTGCTCCGATACCAAATTTGCAAGGGACCTGACTGTCCACAACTTGCCAGAGTGTATCACATTGCATGCCAAAATATCATTCACACAGATTATGAAGCTTCACACAAAGCAAAATCGAGATGGAATGAGAACCAAGGTAGCGCAACTTATATTATCACAACAACATTATAAAGAGTATCTCGAGTTCAAGAGTAAAGCGCCGAATAGTATCACTAGTCTCTCTTGTTCATTAACACCACAGGGGCCTGGCTCTGCCACCGCCTCCTCCAAATAACAATACAGCGCGGAACAGGTAAGTATCCACCATAGCCAACTCAAGAACATGTCCCTCTCTCTCTCCTCTCGCTCTCTTCTCTCTCAAGATCCCTTGTCTTGGTCCTCTCTTCCCACCATGCATGCACATTCCTACTACGAGAATCTACTCTGAATGCTACTCACTGAAGACTACCTCTAATCCTTCTACATCCACTAACATGTTGGCGCAGTTATGGCTGCTTCTGCCAGCCAGCGCCCAGCTCCTTCTCTCCTCTTGCGCAGCTTCTTCTGCCAGCGCTTCCCCAGCATGCTAGCGCACCAGTGCTTTCAGCACTTCCACGCAACAATGCCACTGGAGATCTGCCGTGTGGGGAGGCTGGCTGGGTTTCTTATACTGCTGGCCTCCCTTCACGAGGCCTGCATTGACACACTTGGGTCTTCCCTATCCCAGACCTCTGCAATGTGTGTCCCAGTACCTTTTCCTTCAGGGTCTGCTGCTGCGGCGGCCTTCAGTCCTGAATTTCGGACTTGGGGTCTGAACCTAGACCTCATGTTAGACTTTGACTGGCCTGGGACCTGATCTTTGACTTCCCTCTGAACAACACAACTTCAGTCCGAACAGACACACCTACTGCCTGAACAGACACATGCACTGCACGAACAGACACATCTCCTGCTTGAACAGACATGACTTTCACACCCTCTGGATGAACAAATGTGTCTCCCACAATTGAATACTGCATCTGTTCGTCCAGGGGTACAACCGTGACCTTTGACATGACTTTTGCTTTAGTTAGGATGTGACTTTTGACCCAGAGAACATGCCTTTTGATCTGCTTTTCACGAGTTGGGTTTTGGCCGAGTGACCCCACTATGCTGCATTCGTCATTCAGGGTCTGAATCAAGTAAAAGGCCCTTTTTAAATTTAAATATTCTTGATTAAATATTTAACTTTTGCGAAATTAATTATTGCAAATTTAAATATTCTTTAATCAAATATTTAATCTGTTGCCAAAATTAAATTTGATTAATTCATATTTTCCGATTAAAATTTTATTTAATTTCTCAAAAATTCAAAATTTCATCGGGGGGGGGGGGAATTTTTTCTCTTTGATTAGTTGACGACTTCGAGGTCAGAGGAGAAAGGGACTGTCTGTGCATTGTTTGCCTCTCTGCCATTCCTCCACACCCTACCTTCTCTCTTCTCCTCTCGGTATACGGTTGCCAGCATCCGGACACGTCAGCAGAGTGCCACCTCAGCAGAGACACGTGAGCAGAGTGCCACCTCAGCAGTGACACGTCAGCAGAGTGCCACCTCAGCAGTGACACGTCAGCAGAGTGCCACCTCAACTGTGCCACATCAGTAGGTGCCACCTCAGCGGTGACACATCAGCAGCAGACAAAGGCCAGCGTACTTGATGCACCGCAGCCAACGACTGGCCGAGCGCGGATCGACAAGCCAAGCCTCAACAGGGACCTAGGACCCCTCGGATTCCGCGCAGGCCACGCACGACGATGGCTGTTACCGCTGACGAGAATGCACAAGCCAGCCCCAAGAGGCCAGTTACCCCTCCTATCCCAGTTCAGCAGGCCGATGAACCGCTTCTCGCGTTTCTCAAACGGCTCCAGCTCTACTCGGAGACCACGGCCGCTGAACTCAGCAAGTGGGAGGAGGAGGAAGCCGCCTGCCAGCAGGAAATACAACGCCAGCTGGCAGAGGCAGAGGCAGCACGTCAGCAGGCCGCAACAGAAGCTGCAGCAGCCGCAACAGAAGCTGCAACAGCCGCACGGTTGCAACAGCAGCAGGTCGAGGCAAGTCAACACCAAGCTCGTTACCAAGCCACGATGGACCTTGCACGCGACGAAGCCACGTATGGCAGGCTTCTTCGACGACAGCATTTCCAAGAAACCGAAGAACGACAAGAGCCGACCGAGGAAGAAGGTGACAAAGAAGGTATAGCGGTACTGATGGAGAATCTGCTATACACGTGCAATTGGCAGGAACGTGAACTGCTGGCCATGCGGCAGATCTTCATCCGCCATGAAACAACATTCAAGGCAATGGACAAGAAGATCGTGACCCTGCAGGCCGAGATCAACACACTACACGCTGCCAACAGCCAGCACCACACACTCAACAACCAGTTGCAGACAGATGTCAGCATGGGGTTGGCACAACTGTCAGCAGCTGCGTCAACGGGCAGTGCAGCGGTAGACTGCAGCCCAACTTTCGCCGCGCAGGCCAAGCAACTCGAGGAGCGGATCAACCACTTAGTCGCATCCCTCGGCCACATCAGCAAGTTTGCTGGAGCATCGACAGTCAGCAATCAGCTGCAGACGCTCAGCGACCGCGTTGACCAACGACTGGCCGCTGCCGCCAAGGAATGGAAGATGCCGAACTTCAAGATCGAGAAGTTCGATGACTATCACAAGACCAATCCGCTGCAATGGTGGATGGCTTTCAACGCGGAGGCGGATGTACATCACACACCCGCACATCGGCGGCTTGACGCACTCTACCTCCAACTCATCGGAGGGGCGCAGGCTTTCATGACACACATGGCCGTCACGTTGGAATGCACATCTACCAAGGCCAGCAAACGTCACGGGAATGGCTGACGGAGTGGCAACGACTCGTCGCCACCCCGGAGTTGAACTTACCATTCGACGCAATCCGGGCCGAATTTTTTGCTCGGTCATGCGACGCTTTGACAGCAGCGCTGGGCACCGAGTTTTAGTATGAGACCTTTGATGATCTGATCTCAAAGGCAAGAGAGTTGATCCAAGGTAACCGGCGTGCGGCCAACGAGACCCGTCAACAGCCCGGTTACGTGGAGAAAGGCAAGGGACAGCGGACGCCGCAAGTAGCAGCAGTCCAGCAAGGAACAAGTGAGGACCCCGCAGCCGCGTCTACATCAAGTGACGGAGATGTGGCGGCAGCGATACCACCGCAACGCTCAAGACCCCGAGGGGGAAAACAGAAGGCGAAACCAGCATCGACGGATGGAGCACAACAGGCACCATGGACAAAGTTTGACATTACCGAAGACATGTTCAAGTTGCAGCAGAAATGGGGATGTTGTTTTTGGTGCAACAGCACCAAACACATCACCAGCGCATGCCTCGACAAGGACAAGGAGAATGTCAAACATCCAAGCTCGGGAAACTGAGCACCGCGGGAAGTGCAGCGACATCACTTCCCAATCCGCCGGAGTCGGCTGCCTTGCTAGCAGCCTCTCTCACATTCGGGGATGACGCGGTAGTCGCACGTTCTCGCATTGAGTATGAGAACTATGTTGTCGAGCTGGTCCCACCGTTGAACCAGCCTCTCCACGTGCAAGATTCAAGCACATGCGCGGACGGCGGAACCGGTTGCTTCGCCAACCCTTCTATCGGAGGATCCGTCAACTTGGGCGAGTCTTGAGGAACTCGACCCGTTGACGGCTGAGGACTTCCAATGGTTGCCTCTTCCCTCCACCGGTTCTTTGCCAACACCGCATTGCAATACCTTAATGGCACATCTGCGTGAATACTTGCACGCTGCAGTACCACCTCCGTCGACAGACGGCGGAGTAACGGTTGTTGAACTTTGTAACTATCTTGCGAAGATCGACCGCGAGTACGCAACACAACGGTACGTCGACATCGATGCGCCGCTCCTCTACATCCGCATTCAGATCGGAAAGGCGACCTGCAGTGCCTTGATCGATTGTGGAGCGACTCACAACTACATCAGCCAAGACTTCGTGGCACGCGTCGGGCTAGGCCCGCGCGTTCGAAGGAAAAGTCAGCCTACGCACGTCGCATTGGCCGCTGGTCATACGCAAAAGTCAATAGACCGATGTGTTGACTCGGTGACCATGTACTTTGCCCCGCTAGCATGCGAGGCCGTGTCTTTCGACATATTGGACACCAAGTTCGATATGATCCTCGGCATGTCGTGGCTGCAAAGCAAGACCATCCGGTGAACTTCCATCGACGCACCGTTCACGTTCGTGATCGGCGTGGCGAACTAGTCCCGTGTACGGTGCCGCTTCCTCATCCTTCGATTGGTTGTCACGTGGTATCCGCGGCGAGCATTCGCCAATCCATCCGGCGGAACGACATCGAGGAGATGGGCATATGTTTTCTTCACGCCCTCCCACCCGGTGATCAGCCCAAGACGGATACGTCGGACCCACGCATCATTGAGCTGTTGGACAACTATGAGGATGTTTTCCAAGCCGGAGTCATATCGAATCGGCCCATACGCCACAGGATCACTCTCGAGGACGGCGCCGTACCTCCGTGCCGATGTATCTACCGCATGAGCGAAGAGGAACTTCAAGTGCTTCGGGCACAACTAGACAACCTCTTGGCCAAGGGCTGGATTCGCCCTAGCTGTTCGCCATACAGTGCTCCCGTTCTCTTCGTCCGGAAGAAGAGCAAGGACCTTCGTTTGTGCATCGACTATCGGAAACTTACCGCGCAAATGATCAAGAACACCGGCCCTCTCCCTCGGATCGATGATCTTCTCGAGCGACTAGGCGGCACCAAGTACTTCTCAAAGCTTGACCTCAAGTCCGGATACCACCAGATCGAGATTTAGCCAAGAAATCGGTACAAAACCGCATTCAAGACGCGGTATGGGCACTTTGAGTGGATCGTCATGCCTTTCGGTCACACCAATGCCCCAGCTACTTTCCAAGCGGCCATGACGACGGAATTCCGCGACTTGCTCGACCGCCCCGTACTCATTTACCTTGATGATATCTTGGTTTATAGTCGGACGCTGGACGAGCACCTCGAGCACTTTCGTGCCATATTGGAGTGGCTCCGTATCGCCAAGTACAAGGCGAACCGTGACAAGTGCGAGTTTGCCCAGCAAGAGTTGGAGTACTTAGGCCATTACGTTATGCCGCAAGGCATTCGTCCGCTCGCGACAAGGTACAAGCCATTCAAGATTGGTCGGACCTCAAGTGTACTACCTACGTCCGCTCCTTTCTCCGCTTGGCATCATACTACATGCGCTTCGTCAAAGGATTTCAACGCATCGCTGCACCATTGTCGCGACTTCAGTCCCCCTTGGTGCCCTTCGAGTTAAGCGACGAAGCCCGACATGCGTTTCACACGCTGAAGACGACTTTGCTTCAAGCTCCCGTCTTAAGCATCTATGACCCGACCTTGCCCACCAAAGTGACTACGAACGCTTCTGGTTGGCATTGGCGCGGTTTTGGAACAGCATGACGGCACAGACTGGCATCCGGTTGAGTACTTCAGCCAAAAGGTGCCGCCCATCAACAGTCTTGATGATACGAGGAAGAAGGAACTCCTAGCTTTTGTCACCGTACTTAAGTGTTGGCGTCACTTTCTCCTCGGGCGTCTGCGATTCACGTGGGCAACGGACAACAATCTGTTGACGTATTACAAGACGCAAGACACGGTGAGCAGCACGATCGGTCGATGGATGTACTTCATTGACCAGTTCGACTTCACCTCCAAACACATTCCGGGCTCCTCGAACAAGGCAGCGGATGCTCTCTCGCGACGACCTGATCTTTGCGCCTTGGTGCACTCCACATTCGGCCTCGACGAGAACCTGCAACAACATTTCGTAAATGGCTACAAGTCGGATCCGGGATTCTCCACACTCTATGCGGACTTATCATCGGATCAACCGCCAGCAAGCAACTATCGCATTGTCGACGGCGACTTGCTTCTTCATACACGAGGCAAGGACTTGTTGTGTGTTCCCCAAGACTGAATCTTGCGCACTCGCCTCCTTGGCGAATACCATGATTCGCGGCTGGAGGGACACCTTGGCGTCGCACGCACACTAGCACGACTCCGCCAACGATTTCAATGGCCGGACATCATCAGCGACGTCAATCGGTATATTCAGTCATGTGCAGTTTGCCACCGGAACAAAGGGCCCCATCAGCTCCCGTACGACGAACTGAAACCATTGCCGATTCCTCGGGAACCGGGTCTCTCCATTGCTATGGATGTGACTCGTCCTTTCCCTCGCGATCGCCTTGGCCATGATGGTATTCTCACGGTCGTCGACCGTTTGAGCAAGTACGCTCGATTTCTTCCATGCAAGTATCATGCGACGGCTCCCGAGCTCGCACGACTTTTGCATACCGGCTGGTTTTGCAGCCACGGCGTTCCGGAAGACATCGTCAGCGACTGCGACACTCGACGACACTCATGGTGGAATCCGGCACCAGCATGAAACCGAGTTCCGCACGGCATCCTCAAACGGATGGGCAAACGGAACATGCGCACCAGACTGCGCAGATGACGCTCTGCACACTCATCCGCCCAGATGAGAAGGACTGGGTTGACCGCCTTCCCGGCATAGAGTTCGCCTACAACACTTCGGTGCACCCGACGATTGGCGTGACTCCATTCGAGTTGCACCATGGTGGACGGAAAGAACGTATCTTCGCGGACATTTTGCTCCCACAGGCTTCCAATATCGACGCCGCTTGCTCCCCCGCTTCTACACGGAAGTACAGGGAACTGCTGGCCAAAGCCCGTGCAAACATGCAAAAGGCTCAGGTCCGTGTGCAGCAGCAAGCGAACTGGCATCGCATCCCATGTCCAATTCGCGCTGGCAACCTAGTTTGGGTCACCTCCGAGGAATTCGCGTTCGAGCAGCACGTCTCGCGCAAGCTCCTCCCTAAGTGGTTTGGGCCATGGATGGTCACTTCAGCAGCTGGCGACGACCCCGCGGGTCCATCTTTCATCATTGCGAACCCCCTGCATTTGACGATCCACCCGATCTTTCACGCTTCAAAGCTGGCGGTTTACACTCCAGCCTCCGCAACGGACTTCCCGGGCAGACGGTCACAGGACCCTCCTTGAATGGATGGTCATCAGGAGGTCGACCGCGTTCTCACGCATCGCAAGCATGGCAACAAGCCTATGCAGTACAAAGTTACATTTAAGCAATGCGATCCGAACAACACACGATGGATCTCAAGAGTTGACCTGAAGGCGACAACACCCCTCATCTCCGCGCATTACGAAAACAGCGACTTGCTAAGGAAGCTGCCCAACCTGCCCGCCCTGTACGGACATCGGACAGACAGCTTCGCCCTCGCAGCTAGCTCGGTCTTCAAGGGGGGGAGTGAGTGGCATTCTGAGCCACACAGGCCCCAGTTAGGGCCCGGTTCCAGACAGGCAGGGTAGGCCTAAGGGACGACGGTTGAGATGAGGCCCAAATGGGCCTGGACCACGGCGGTTTAGGCAGGCCTAGGGTAGAGGCCCAGGCCAAACGGCCACAAGGTCGGTACCGGTCCAGCATAGGACCTACCGGCGGCGTTTCAGAGACTGCCAAATTTAGGCGCCAAGTCCAGTTTGAATTTGGACCGTCGATTCAGATCAACGGGCCAGCCCAGCTCTACAAAAGGCTGGGTACCAGCCTCAACGGTAGGTTGAAAGCTAGAGGTTAGTATGGATGAGGTTAGTCTTCAGGATTAACGCAGCAGCCCAGCGTTAGCTCGATTAGCGCAGCGCTGCAGCACAGCGAGGAGCAGCGAGGGAGCAAGAGCTCAGCGGCGAGGAGATTAGCGCAGCATTGGGCGCAGCGCCAGTTACCGGCCCAGCCCCCTTGCAGCGCCATATATATATCGTCACAAACAGAACTGCCCGGTAAACCGTTGGCAGAGAGATATATATGTGCCAGGTACCAGGGAGGAAAATCTGGACCGTCGATTCAGATCAACGGGCCGGCCCAGCACTACAAAAGGCTGGGTACCAGCCTCTGCGGTAGGCTGAAAGCTAGAGGTTAGTATGGACGAGGTTAGTCTTCAGGATTAGCGCAGCAGCCCAGCGTTAGCTCGATTAGCGCAGCGCTGCAGCACAGAGAGGACCAGCGAGGGAGCAAGAGTTCAGCGGCGAGGAGATTAGCGCAACATTGGGCGCAGCGCCAGTTACCGGCCGGCCCAGCCCCCTTGCAGCGCCATATTGGGCCAGGGACCAGGGAGGAAGGCTTCGCCTTGTCTCCCTCATCTCCTCGCTCGCTCCTCTCTCCTCTCTCCTCTCTCTCCCTCTCTCTCTCTCTCCTACCTTCTCAGTCTCAGTCTAACTTCTGGGTTCTCCTACGGGACTACTGCAGTATGAAGGATGGTTACAAACTTTGATAACATTGGGAACAGCGACATTGGGACTACGAGTTGAGGACTATTTGGGGATCTGATTTCATCTTCCTTCTGAAGATGTACTTGACATTGTGAGATCGATATCTGAGATATTGTGAGATTTGGTATTCGCAACATTTCGGATTTTCGTCACTTCTGACATTTCAAGATACTATCTTTGGAAACATTGAGTTGACGTCATCTTCCCTCTCCTCCTCCTTCATCTCTCTCCTCTCTCCCTTCGTCCGTGGATAATGTGGTCCCTGGCCCTTCGTCTATGTCTAAGGCCAAGGCATTCACACCCCGATGAATGTTTGAGAGTGTTCGATTGCAGTCCTAGTCAGGTCTGAGTCAGTCCAAGGTATCTCAAGTCTTCCGTTTGCATTTGTATTAACTCTGTATTATCTGGTCGGTTCTGGGAATCTGCGCCATACTTATGACTGTGTTTCACGAATATGCAACAGTCTGGCTAGCTTGCTTGACTCGATGCTGGCAAGCTGCCGGCAGATGACGACACGAGACTGCTGCATTGCGTATTGGCGCCTCTCTGCTTTTGGCGCCAGCTGTCTACTTGGTTGCTGACGTGGCACTTGGCACGCTGTCTTCGACATTGCTGATGTGGCCCTTGCCACGCTATCTTCGACATTGCTGACGTGGCGCATGCCACACTGTCTTCGATACAGATTAGGAATCAACAACAAGGGAGATCAAGGTTGTGGGATTGGTTGTGAGAGAGAGGGTAGCTCACCTGGTTGATGCTGTCGACATTGTTGCGTTGCGGTGACGTCTTCATGAGAGATCTACGTGGCACTGTGTTGTGATCGAACCTTGTCAGACTCGTTCTGGGATACTGTTTGCTGACGTGAACGAGGGGAGACGCCCAATGGAGGAGGGGGTTATGAGGGGGTTCTATCAATGATGACATTGATGGTTCCTCTCTTCCACCCTCTAAGTCTATTTCTCCCTCCTATCAACTTCATCCTTTGTTTAAGAGACATTGTACTACCGATCACATTTCATGATTGTTGGAGACATTTATCAGCGCTGAGACATCTTGTATTTCGACACTTGGTGAGTTTCTCTCCTGACTGGGTTCATTACACATCATACGGATCCTAAAGAAGATCGATGGTTCACCAGAGAGGAATTGACAAAGACTGCTCCCCAAGTTATCACAAGTTATGAACGAAATTTGAAAGGGAAGCAGCCCGCTTTGAAACGACTTCTTAGAGGACTATCGAAGTTAAGGAGGAGGGAGTGAGAGGGTTTATGCCTCGGCATAGGGCGCGTGCCCGCAATGCGCCCTGAACTCGTCAATTTTGCAAATCTTGGTCGGCACCAGACAGTTGTCACACGCCAGTTGGTTACATCCGCCTTAGTCACGAGAATCGAAAACATTTGTGAGCATTCCAGGCTCTTCCAGCAACGTGGTGGAAGCAGGGAGCATCGCACGTTTGTGCCTGGGTGGTTGGACATGCCTAACCAATTCGGTCTCAGGCCACTGCCTGAACGGGCCTGGGCGCAGACACTTTGATCGAGACTGAAGCTAATGGAAACTCGGTCTCATGTGGGGGAAGAAAGGTAAAGTGCTCGTCACTTTCCATATAGGAAAGGGCAGGGCGCCGGGCTCAACATTCGGGCACTTGGTATAGCAGGTGGCAGCTCTGCTGGAGAGGTCGCTCGCGTGCTGCTGCTAGCGCCAGTGCGGAAGAGCGCGTGCGAACGTGCAAGGTACAAGGCGCTGTTGAGGGCAGCGCCATAGCCCAGAAGACGTGGGTAGTGAAGACGAGGGAGAGAGTAGGAGAGATGAGGATGATGATGTGAGGGCACGTACCTGGTCTTGGCGATGGTCTACAAGGTCGACATCTTCACTCACTTCGATTGTTGTTGGTGACATCAATAGGATGCATTGTCAATTTGTAGGGTGCTAGTAGCTTTGTAGTAGTAGTCTGGGTGCAGAGAGCCAAGCAGGAGGAAAGACTCTGGATACATATGTTGGTGGTGGCGAGAGTCTGCTCTCATTGACATTCGGATTTAGTGTTTTGGTTCTACGTTGCTGCAATATCAGTGCATTTCTGCTTTCTGGACAGTGTTGGACTTGCTGGCTTTCAATGTGATTTTGCATTCTGGATTTGTGTCATTTCGCTTTCGCCCATTAGGACTGGCTAGTCCACGATCCCTCTATAGCGCAACAAGAGCTCAAAGGACAAAGCAGCAAAGCATGTGCTCTACTCCCATAGGTTGGCATAGTGACCGTGACCCGTGCTTCAACCAGGGCCCTTGAGAGGCACCACCCTCTCCTGCCAAATACGCCACCAGGAAGAATGTCGACTCTCAAGGTAAGAGTGCTCACAAAGAGGACACTCAAGTTGAACTCACTTCCTCACGGTAAGAAGAGATTGAGATGTGAAGATAAGGTAAAGGAACAGTGTACCTGAAGATAGCTGCCCCCAACCACAGATTTCTCACCAATTGAGCCGACATGTGAGAGAGAGGGAGAGTGAGAGCACACACACACGCTCACTCAACTCGACACGACTCGATGGACGCAGACACAAAGTGGCAAAGTCGCAATGTTGCAGTCTTGAATTCCCGAACACAATGTTGAAGCAAAGTCACACTGAACACAAACACGGAGTCTGAAAACTTGGTGCCCGTAATGGGTTTGAGTCCGGACGTGAGTACTCGACTCAGGTACGGTCCTGAGGGCGAAAGTGAAAATGCCTCAGGGCCAGTACTGAAAATCGAAAGTCTGAGAGTGGGCGCCAGAATGTCGGATGGCGCCAAGCGTCCAAAATCCGAAAGTCCCAAAAGAAGGATTTTGAAAACGGGCGCTAGAATGCAGATGGCACCAACTGTCTGAAATCAGAAGAGCAAAAACAGAATAAAACAAGAAAATTGTAAAAACAAAAAAAAAGGAATAAATACAGCAAGTTGGCGGGTGGTAATCCGCAGACCAGGGATCGAGCCCTGGTGGAGTCCGTAAAACGACGTGCATTTTGACGACCGGTCATAGCCTCGGTACCACACACAATGCAATGGAGTGCCACCTCACCCATCCCCCATACATCCGCTGTCGCCACAGCCTGCCAGCGACGCTCCCCTCTACCCGCGAGTCACTAATCAAGCCAGTGCCAAACTTGTCCTCACTGAGGAGAAGCTTCGCCAGCAAACCAAGTAACAAAGTCCCCAACGCCGGAAATGGCGATATCGAACCAGCTCCGATACCAAATTGCAAGGAATATGAGTGAGAGCGATAGACAGAAATCCAAATTGCAAAATCACGAAGTAGCCCAGATAGTCATGTACCAAGCAGAGAGCAAAATGCACCGCGATACCATCCAAATAAGAGCAATACAATGAACTCGAATGTCAATGTCGACGCTCTCTGGCCACACGAACATAGTATCCAATGTCGGTCCTAGTGCCTGGCGTCCAGCACCGAGCCTACACTACTCAGTCTACCTAGCCTATCTATGTCCATGCAACTGGAGCACATCGAAGTTGAAGACCAATGTACGTGACGTCATGACCAGTGCAGACCACCAGCATACACCAGGTACATTCTCTCTCCTCCCCTCATCACACCCTCTCTCCCCTTTGCATGCACCTCCTACCCGAAGACCACCATCACCGTCACCCCACCTGTGCCCAGCAGCCCGACTATGGCCGCCGTGCGCCCGCTGCCTTAGCAGCACCCCTCTCTCACCTCTGCGCCCGTGTGTGCGTCCGACCGTCTAGTGCTATCGCAGCAGCGTGGCCACTATGCCTGCCTAGGCCAGAATTCCCCTGCCTGGGCAGGGCACTTTCCTTTATGGAAAGTGCGGCCCTGTGTCTGGCTGCATGGGCCTGACTGGGCAAGTTTCCAATAGCTTCCCGTTGGGCCCGTGTGTCTGCGCCCAGGGCCAGTTTCAGATACTGGCCTGGGCACCGTGCAGTTAGGCACGTCCAAACAGCTGCCCAGGCTCCAAGTGTTTGGAGCGATCTCATTGGCTCGTAGGATGTGTGTGATGCTGATCTCCTTTCTCATTGGTCCGCGGCCTCTCCCTGATGTGTCGGCCTATCAGTGCATGTGCCCAGGGAGCAGCCACCTGAGTCCTGGGCTCAACTTTACGGCGCAGCTGCTGCTTCTGGAAGGAGCCAGGAGAGGCTCACGTTGCTCTGTAACCAGCATACTTGCTGCAACACTGTCTGATACCCGACGTACGAAAAATGTCAGGCCCGCCTTCATTTAGGGCGGGCACGAGGCTTGCTGGGGGTCGCAGCCCAGAACATTGGCCGCGTGAGGGCTCAATCCTCACAGAAGGCAAAGAAACATTCGATCGTAGTGCTTTTTGAAGGAAGACAAGATGCACTTCTCTAATACTCAGGGTCTCGAGTGAGCGTCCCATGCGAGCCCCCGTGCACAGTGTTGGGAAAGTGCGGAACCGGCCAACGGGCCCTGCGGGGAGCAGCTGAGCAGGACGACAGGAGGCCAACAAAACGTTGCGAGGCGGGCGGGGCGGGCCGAAACGGTGCGAGGCAGTTGCGAGGCAGTCGGGGCGGAGGGAAATGGGAGGGTACAGGGGGAGGAGCCGGGGCAGGGGGGAACGGGCCGACGGGCCGTGCGGCGGCCGAATCGGTGCGGCGTGGCCGGTGAGAAACGGGAGGACACAGGGGTAGGAGACGGGGCCAGGGGGGAACAGGCCGACAGAGGTACACACAGGCGAACAGCTGTAGCAGGCTGACGCGGCCGGGGTGCGCAGGCCAAGCGGCACGAGACAAAAGGGAGGACGAAAGAGCGACACAGAGAGACAGTGTGTGTGTGTGTGTGTGTGTGTGTGTGTGTGTTACGGACTCAGCCAGGGCTCGATCCCTGGTCCTCGGGGTACCACCCGCCAGCCTGCTATTTTTTTTTTTTTTATTTCCTCCTCTTCGGTTTCTGACTGTTGGCGCCCTCTGCAGTTGGCGCCCATTTTCAAATCCCTCCTTTGGCACTTTCGGATTTTGACACTTGGCGCCATCCGACATTCTGGCGCCCAGACTCAAACTTTCGATTCTCAGTTCAGTCCTGAGGCAATGGCACTTCTGCCCTCCGGACTGAACTTGAGTCCGGTACTTAAGACCGGACTTAAGCCCAGTACGGGCATTCAGTCTTCGGCCTCTGTGCTTGTGCTTCAGTGTGACTTGCCGCGACTCTGTGTTCGGAATCCAAGATTGCAACTTTGCGATTTCGGGACTTTGCCACGTCGTGTCTGCGTCCGTCGTGTCGAGTCGAGTCCGTGTCTGAGTCGAGTGAGTGTGTGTGTGTGCTCTCACTCTCTCTCTCTATATATTCTCTCTCTCGCTCAGCCTCGCCACTCTGTCTCTGCCTCATCACTCTGTGTGTGTGTGTGTGTGTGTGTGTGTGTGTGTGTGTGTGTGTGTGTGTGAGAGAGAGAGAGAGAGAGAGAGAGAGAGAGAGAGAGAG